ACCCTAACCCTAACCCTAACCCTAACCCTAACCCTAACCCTAACCCTAACCCTAACCCTAACCCTAACCCTAACCCTAACCCTAACCCCTAACCCCTAACCCTAAGTCGTGAGTGACAGCTGCGCGCAGATCTAGCATCCCGCACTCATGACTGCCGGCGGGTGGCGCCGTGTCGCGCAGAACCAACACTTTTGACTGCACATGGTCAAGGCAGCAGTAACGCAATGGCGCAAGAGCTGTGTGGGCTGTGGCATGAAGTAGCGCAAAGCATCAGCATCACTCTGCGGGACTCGCTCGAACCCGCAGAGCGCCAGATCACTCTGCGGAACTCACTCGAACCTGCAAGGTGCCAGATCACTCTGCGGAACTCGCTCGAACCCGCAGAGCGCCAGATCACTCTGCGGAACTCACTCGAACCCGCAAGGCGCCAGAGCACTCTGCGCCATCGTCCATACCCGCAGTGCACCAGAGCACTCTGCGGGACTTGAACCCGTGCGTCGCCTGCGCAATCCGCCAGGCATCAGAACACTCTGCGCAAACAAGCCCAAAACCGCAGGGCATCCGACCACTCTGCGCGACCCAACCGAAACCGCAGGGCGTCAGACCACTCCACGCAACTAAACACGCAGCGCCTGCGCGATCCTGAGCATCAGACCACTCTGCGCGTTCCAGCCCGAAACCGCAGGGCATTGGAACACTCTGCGCCACCAATCCCGAAGGCCACCAGAGCTGTGCTATTCCCGCAACCCGCGCTTGCCAAACCCGCAGGGCATCAGAACACTCTGCGCTACCGTACTCCCATCCCGCAGGGCGCGAGAGCAGTGCAGTTCCGTCGCCTGCGCAAGCCAAACCCGCAGGGTATGAGAGCACTGTGCGCTATGGCCCCAACCCCTCAGGGCATGAGAGCACTCTGCGCTACCAAAGCCCGGGACGCCAGAGCAGTGCAGTTTCCACAACCAGTCTGCGCTACCGAAAGCCGCAGGGCATCGCTTGCGCGCCCGCAGGTTATCAGAGCACTCTGCGCGACCAAACCCGCACGTACCATCCCTGCGCTGCTCTGCATCTCCCTCACACTCGGGACTCTCTCATTCGCTTGCACTAATTGCCCACCTTCACTTTGCTGTACCATTGTCTGTCTCACACTCTCCCATTAACACGCACTAACATCACCAGACCTGTGCAATGCTTGCCTAGTATGCTCCCTTATTAACACGCACTAAGATCTTTTTGATTTTGATTGCTTGCTGACATCGTTCTGCCTAGAGAATCGACTCTGATCTCATTTTGTTCCGCCCAGGAAGACGAGAGAGGTCACAAAATCATCAAGCGACTGAGCAGACCAACGATGAGTAGAAGGGGAACACGTGATCACAGCCGCGCACGGGCATGATGCACGGACTCGAGACCTGCGCGCGCGCGCGATACACAGCCTGCGAAAGTTGATGATGCGCGTTGCACCGCGCATCACACGCTCAATCACGCATGTCGGACCCGCACTCACAACTCCTCCATCGCAGACCCACCCCC